CATGACACGTTTGTTTGACCTCTTGACCCATGAAGACTATACTGTGTATACAGCTATGTTTTGGTCTGAGCCCAAATAAATCACTGATATAATTTACACATCAAAGTCCTGTTTTGCTACACGATTGACTTTTTTTTATATATATGATGTACACATAGAGAAAAAACATCTCACCAGTCCCCTGTAACCAATAAAACAAAAATAAAACTAAAATTACATTCAAACAAAGCTCACATTTATCTTTTACAAAAACATAAATAAATTATACTAAACCCAATTGACATATTCACATGACGATTTACCAATATTTTCTGAAACATTGTTAGTGTTGCGGGTTGATTTCGGACGAATCAGAACGCAGGAGACACTTATCTCCCTCACCATCTCTGTCACGATCGTCTGAGGAAGCGGACCAATAACGCAGAACGTTGCGAGTGCACATGATGACTTTACTTTATAAGCACGTAAATACAAACAAAGACGAAGTGAAGTCAACAGTGACAATGACTGAACTTGGAACAAAAACCCACAAACCAAGGAGAAAACCCCACATTAAATATGGCTACCAATCAGAGATAACGAGCCGACAGCTTACCACTCGTACCTCCGATTGGGAGTCATATGACTAATCACAAACCCAATCACCCACATAGAAATGAACAACTGAGAATCCCCAACATAGAAATACACCCAAACAATGAAATGAACAACCCTGCTAAATATCAAGTCCATGGACCCAGAGTTTCACAGTACCCCCCCCTAAGTGGGGCACTCCGGGCGCACCAGCATACAGTCTAGGGGAGGGTCTGGGTGGCGTCTGTCCATGGTGGCGGCTCTGGCCAGGTCGTGGTCCCCCACCCCACCTTAGTCACTATCCGCTTCCGTAGCCCCCTCCACCTGACCACCCCCCAATTAAACCCCACTGGATTAAGGGGGCGGCACCGGACTAAGGGGCAGCACCGGACTAAGGGGCAGCACCGGACTAAGGGACAGTACCTGACTAAGGGGGCAGCACCGGACTGAATGGCGGATCCTGGCTGGCTGGCTCTGGCGGATCCTGGCTGGACGGCTCTGGCGGATCTGGCTGGACGGCTCTGGCGGATCCTGGCTGGCGGAAGGCTCTGGCTGATCCTGTCTGGCAGAAGGCTCTGGCTGATCCTGTCTGGCAGAAGGCTCTGGCTGATCCTGTCTGGCGGAAGGCTCTGGCTGATCCTGTCTGGCGGAAGGCTCTGGCTGATCCTGTCTGGCGGAAGGCTCTGGCTGCTCCTGTCTGGCGGAAGGCTCTGGCTGAATCCTGTCTGGCGGAAGGCTCTGGCTGCTCCTGTCTGGCGGACGGCTCTGAAGGCTCATGGCAGACGGGCGGCTTGCAGGCTCAGTACAGACGGGCCCAGTTCCTGCGGCGCTTGGCAGACGGACAGTTCAGACGGCGTTGGGCAGACGGGCAGTTCAGGCGCCGTTGGGCAGACGGGCAGTTCAGGCGCCGTTGGGCAGACGGGCAGTTCAGGCCCCGTTGGGCAGACGGACAGTTCAGGCCCCGTTGGGCAGAACGGCGGGACTCTGGCGTCTGAGGCGCATCGTAGGCCTGTGCGTGGTGCCGGAACAGGAGGTACCGGGCTGAGGACACGCATCTCAGGGCTAGTGCGGGGAGAGACAAACAGGGCATGCTGGACCCTGGGGACGCACCGTAGGCCTGATGCGTGGTGCCGGAACTGGAGGTACCGGGCTGAGGACACGCATCTCAGGGCTAGTGCGGGAAGCAGCAACAGGGCATGCTTGGCCCTGGGGACGCCACGTAGGCCTGATGCGTGGTGCCGGAACTGGAGGTACCGGGTGAGGACACGCATTCAGGGCTAGTGCGGGGAAGCAGCAACAGGGCATGCTGGACCCTGGGAACGCACATAAGGGCTAGTGCGGAGAGCCGGAACAGGGCATGCTGGACCCTGGGACTCACATTAAGCCTAGTGCGGAGAGCAGCAACAGGACGCACAGGACTCGGGAGACACACAGGAGGCTTGGGGCGTGGGTGTAGGCACTGGTGGGAAAGGGCTGGCGACGCGCACCGTATCCCTGGTGCGAGTGGCCGGAACAGGCCGGGCCGGGCTGGCGAACGGCACCGTATCCCTGGTGCGAGTGGCCGGAACAGGCCGGGCTGGGCTGGCGAAAGCGCACCGTATCCTGGTGCGAGTGGCCGGAACAGGCCGGCTGGCTGGCGAAGGCACCGTATCCCTGGTGCGAGTGGCCGGAACAGGCCGGGCCGGGGCTGGCGAAGCGCACCGTATCTTGGTGCGAGGGGTCGTAACAGGCCGGACCGTACTGGAGGCACACACCACTGGCTCTACCCCGGGAACTGGAACGGCCGGACCGGACTGGATACACACCTCAGTCTCTCACGCCGTGCCTCTACATCTCCTTTCCCTACTTTGGCCAGTGACCCCGTAACCTGGTTGCCTCTTGAATTCGCCCCTTCTCTGCCTCCGTTAGCCCCGTCGTCCAAGCCATGTGCCCCCCCAAAAAACTTTTGGGGTTGCCTTCGTCCTTCCAACGATGATGGCCCTGCTGACGCCGTTTCTCCTCTCGCCGTCGCCTCTCCACCGTTTCGCTCCATGGACGGCGATCCATCCCATCCAGGATCTCCTCCCAAGTCCAGGACCCCTTTCCATCCAAATCTCCTCCCATGTCCAGGAAGCCTTTGGAGCTGGGTCCTGTTGCCGCTTCACACGCTGCTTGGTCCTTTGATGGGGGTTTTTCTGTCACGATCGTCTGAGGAAGCGGACCAATACGCAGCGTGCGAGTGAACATGATGACTTTAATTTATTTAAAACACGTCAATACAAAACAAAAGACGAAAATGAAGTCCAACAGTGACAATGACTGAACTTGGAACAAAAACCCACAAACCAAGGAGAAACCACACAATTTAAATATGGCTCCCAATCAGAGATAACGAGCCGACAGCTGACACTCGTTACCTCCGATTGGGAGTCATATGACTAATCAAGAACAATCACCCAACATAGAAATGAACAACTAGAATCCCCAACATAGAAATACACCAAACAATGAAAAAGAACAACCCTGGCTCAATAATCAAAGTCCATGGAGCCAGAGTGTCACAATCTCCCTACTTATCTCCCTCACTAACTTTAAGCATCAGTTGTCAGAGCACCTTACCGATCACTGCACCTGTACACAGCCATCTGAAATTAGCCCGCCCAACTACCTCATCCCTAAAATTGTTATTATTTTGCTCATTTGTACCCCAGTATCTCTATTTGCACATAATCTCTTGCACATCTATCATTCCAGTGGTAATACTAATTGTAATTATTTTGCACTATGCCTATTTATTTCCTTACCTCCATAACTTGCTACATTTGCAACACACTGTATATATATTATTTCTGTTGTAAATTTTTGACTTTGTTTTGTTTTACCCCATATGTAACTCTGTGTTGTTGTTTTTATCGCACTGCTTTGCTTTATCTTGGCCAGGTCGCAGTTGTAAATTTGAACTTGTTCTCAACTGGTTTACCTGGTTAAATAAAGGTGAACTAACAAATTTTTTAAAAAGGAGGGTAAATCACAGAATTCATCGCTTCTCCCGATTCATCGCTTCTCCCAAACTGGCTAGCATAGTAGAATGCTCCAGACCCGCGCCACGACTCCAGGCATGTTCTCTTCTCCTGCTGACTCCATGTTTGGGTGTGTGATTCTGTGGCGGGTGACTTTGGACGGAGTCAGGCGCAGGAGGGTAAATCACAGATATATAGTTTAATCAGGAACACAGAGGTACGCATCGATGCGTAATACACTCCAGTACGGTAAATACGGCGCTCTGGAGAAAACAAGGCACACGGGGAATATCCCGGCGATACAAATACAAAGTAGCTCCACCGAGCTATAATACCTCCACAATAAACAATCACACACAAAGACAAGGGGGCGAGGGAACACTTATACAGGTACTAATGAGGGGATATGAACCAGGTGTGTGTAATAAACAAGACAAAACAAATGGAATGATGAGATGAGGAGCGGCAGTGGCTAGAAGGCCGGTGACGACGAACGCTGAAAGCCTGCCCGAACAAGGAGGGGAGCAGCTGTGGAGGAAGTTGTGACATTTAGTGTCACTTTAGGGACAGTGTGGGTTCAATAACCAAAACAATGTATGATGAATCACATTATATCAAGATTCATACATCATCAGAGAAAGACCCTGCGGTGACCAGCTCATGAGGAGCGACAAAAAAGACTGCTGAAAGTTAGGTTGCTCCTAGTGCACACCATGAACAAATAAAATAAAGCAAAGCTCAAGCATCAGTCCTGTTACACCTACTGTATTGTATTAACCCTTACTTACAGAATCAAGCCAAGCCTAACAATAATCTTAAAGGTCCAATGCAGCCGTTTTTATCTCAATATCAAATAATTTCAATGAAGTGATTGTTTTCATTGTAAATGGTCAAAAGAAACAAAAATAACTTCTTAGCAAAGAGCAATTTCTCAAGCAATAATTTTGATAGGACTGTCTGGTAGCGGTATGAGTAGGGAGGGGAAAACAGAAAATGAAGCTGTTATTGGCAGCGATGTTTGGAACTCTCTTTCTTATTGGTATAACTAATTTACCGCATGGTGATTTTCACTGTGTAAGGCCAAAACTCCATCCCACAAAAACAGGTTGAAATTTCAGGTGGTCATTTCAAACAGCTCTTACACTGAAAGGGCATTATCATTATTTTCACAAGTTCACTGCATTATTCAAACCTCATAATGTGGAAATATCTATAAAACACAGGAAAATCACGTTTTTGACTGCACTGGACCTTTAAGACCCTGCATTATTGTAGGGCTAACAGTTTCAGTGGCATCCTTCCTCGCTATGTCAACAGAAATGTCAATAGTGTTTACAATAGTTGATTGGTGATCAGTGACTTCAGGCTGTGCTGTGACCAGTTGCATGAAGACTCTCATCTTCTCGTTTTGCATCATACTACCTCCATTCAGACGGCTGTGCATTGCGATGGCTGGAACTGCTTGAGCTCATCTTCTGAGCCAGAACCACACTTGGAGCAGATCAGATAGAATATCTCCACCAACATTCAGCAGCAGAGATGCGCACGCCACCCCAGCATGAGATGATGAAGATGGTCTTCTCTGTTGGTCGTGACATGAAGCATTCTACAGTGAACGGACAGGGAGCTCTGCTGCATTCAATCTTGGGGTCCAGCACAAACCCATACAAGTATATGACCCACTATAAACACTATCTCCAGCAAAATCCTGAAGAAGATATTGACCATGTAAACTGACCAGCAAGTCACCTTTGATTTGACATGACCCTTCTCATCAGAATTTAGGCATTTTCCCCATCTCATTGCACTGCCTGACTTAGCCGTTGCCTCAGTTTGTTTCTCCTGTGGGATGACATGCATGACATGTCCCAGATACACCACGTTGGGGTGGAGACGAAGATGATCTGAAGGACCCAGAAGCGGATGTGGAGATGGGGAAGGCGTGGTCATAGCACACGTTCTCTACAACCGGGCTGTTTGGTATTGCAAATCATTTAGACTGCTCATCGCTCCACCCCTCTCTGCCCCGGCCCCCAGGACATGATCCTGAAGATAAACAAGACAGTCATCCAAACTTTACCGACGACCGTGGAGTGTGACTGCACCTTGCCCAGCAGGGATGACAGAAATCCCCACTCTCCCATGTTTGCAGATGTTCTGGTTGGAAAGAAATACAAACATAGGAACGGTGAATGTGATGCTGATGTTAGGGGAAACAAAGTTAAAGTTGAGTTACAGAATTTGCAACATTCTGATAAATGATGAAGAAATCTATGATAAGATTAAATGACAAAATATCAAACAGCTAAAGCAGAATCACACACAGTAAGTAGATCAACAGAGAACAGTCTGTGTTATGGAGATTAAGAACACAAGCTGTGTATGGGATAGTAAGGCTATTCAAGAGCCAAGGGAGCTATAAAACATATCGCATAACAGAAGAGATATCCCATGCTGTCTGTTATCAACCAGATGAAGTTTTTTCTTAGTCAAAATATAATGTGTCATATTTCAGCATCTAACATGGAATTCAGTTATTTTGTGTAGCAAAATACACTGACTGTACAAAACATTAGGAACACCTTCCTAATATTGAGTTGCACCCCCATTTCCCTTAGAACAGCCTCAATTCGTCGGGGCATGGACTCTACAAGGTGTCGAAAGCGTTCCACAGGATTCTGGCCCATGTTGACTCCAATGCTTCCCACAGTTGTGTCAAGTTGGCTGGATGTCCTTTGGGTGGTGGACCATTCTTGATACACAAGGGAAACTGTTGAGTGTGAAAATCCCAGCAGCGTTGCTGTTCTTGACGCACTCAAACTGGTGTGCCTGGCATCTACTACCATACCCCATTCAAAGACACTTAAATATTTTATTTGCCATAACTTCTGAATGGCACACATACACAATCCATGTCTCAATTGTCTCAAGGCTTAAAATCCTTCATTAACCTGTCTCCTCCCCTTCATCTACACTGATTGAAGTGGATTTAACAAGTGATATCAATAAGGGATCATGGAAAGAGCAGGTATTCCTAATGTTTTGTACACATCAGTGTGTATCACTTCTTTATAATACAGTATGTATTCTATTTCGATTTGATACATTTTATTACAAATTATATTAATAATTGTTTTGATATGCCCAAAAATATTGGGAAAGTGAGTGAATGGGATATTTTTTCCATGCTGTAAGCCTCACAGGGCTCTCATGAGGTCAGTGTACCAGTATATTGGTCTGTGTGTTTATCTGCAATCAATATTTACTTGCTTCAAGTAATGGACACAGACAGCACGAGGCTATCAAAGTAAAATGTCCCAAATACCACAAAATCAATATTCTAATAAAAAACGATTACACTTGTTTCAGATAATAATAATCACTTAGGTTGTCCACTATAGAATGGTTCAAGCTTATCATAAATCATTTTGGTTTTGTGATATTAGATTTTCATTCTTATGTCTATTCATGTTGGGTGAAAACAATACAATAATTCATAATTATAGGACAATGTAAAAATAAGTAGAAAGATAAGTTGCTTTACCTTTTAAACACGACCGTTTCTGAACAGAACACAACAGCCACCAGCTGTAGAGACAAATGATCAAATGTACGTAGTAGCCTACAACCGTCTACCTTGAAGTTGCACAATTTGCTTGTCGTACGAGGTGTCACGTTGTGCATGACATCCTGAATTGAGAAATCTGCTGTTTAGAATTTGGGTGTACCTGGGGGTGATTGTAAGGTATAATTGGCAACACAATGATAAAGTTAATTATGTATCAGTACCTCAAATTAACCAGTAATAACCATGAAATAGCATTGTAATCTAGGCCATGGCCTGTGCTAATGATTTATAATAGAAATGTGGGTGGTCCAGGTAGGCAAAAGGTATATGAGGTAATGAAATCTTAATCAAAATTTTTGGGGGGATATTTTTTCTACAATATACTTTCTCAAATATGTGCCTGGGTTGGTACTGTAGTTAATCCAGTTCTGGCAAAACAAGAAGGATTTTTTGTTATATTATACTATAAGCCTCTTCATTGTGAGGGTTGGAGGACGTGGCGCTCCTTATTTTCAAATGACACTTCAATAGCCAATTTGCATACTCTCACTCCTAGAAACATTGTCTGGATTGGTAGTTTGACAACGTTCTGGTAAAAATGAGTTTATTTACAAGCTCCTTTATTTTGAGGGTTTGGAGATCTGATGTCTTATGTTCAGTGATGTTAATTTGATAGCCATATTTCCATAAATGGTGTCCTAAGATAATCAACTATTTCCTCATGTGTGTTATTTTGTTAGGTTTCAGTGATTTTATTGATGGGTTTTCAGTCTCTCATTTTCATTCAGGCACCATTGATACAAAGAAAACACTATTAATTTTGACACTATATTTAGTTTATTATTTTTTTTTAAATACACTTGTATATCTTGACACCTTTTATGTATCATATGATAGAAAATATATTAGCTGTCAGCATTCATCTGTCAGTTTACAACTCAATTCAAGACCCCAGCGGGTAGTTTCAAAACTAAAGGAACATTTTAGAAACTTCAAACACACTACTAGTGCACTGCGCCTAAATCAATGGTCCCTCGTAGCTCAGCTTAGAGCACGGCGCTTGTAACGCTAAGGTAGTGGGTTCGATCCCTGGGACCACCCATACCACAAAAAAATGTATGCACGCATGACTGTAAGTCGCTTTGGATAAAACGTCTGCTAATGGCATATTATTATATTATTATTATCAAATAACATAAGAAAACAAAACAGAGTGTATTCATTCAGATTTTCAACATACAAAAGATTAAGATACATTAACGGCAAATTAACTTCAAGCGTTTTAGTGGTGGTCACCCAGCAACTTTTTCTCATCCTTAGCATCCAGAGTACACCTAAAATCTGGCCCCTCTCAAACTCCAGTTCATCTTGTTCTGTCTCAGGGTTTTCCATCTCAGTATCCCGCGACCAGACCCGCAGGGGTGGGAGGGTGGCTGGGTTCGCAGTTGAGGTAGTGTGATAAATTTCGGCCTTTGGAGCACCACATCTTTAAATTTTTACAAAGCAGATAGAACACCTCAATCACATTCATTTCCAGAGACGCACAGGCCACCACCAGCATGAAGATGATGAGATGGTCTTCTCTGTAGGACGGGCCTGTAGCATTCGACAGTGAGGGGCAGGAGATTGGAGCAGGGGAACATGGGGACCATGACAAACCCATACAGGTAGTACTGGCCCACGATGAAAAACGATCTCTATTATATTTTAAAGAACAGCGGGGGCATGTAACTACCCAGCAAATTCCCCTTAATTTTGATCTTTCCCCGCTTCATTGCTGTTTTTTGGGCTTCTTCAACGTTGCCATTGTTTAAAATTGGCTCTGCAGTATGGCCCCTCAGTTTTCTCCTGGATGACATGCATGGCATGGCCCAGGTATAGAAGGTTGGAGTGGAGACAAGATGATCTGCATGACCCAGAACGGATGTGTGAGATGGGGGAAGATATGGTCGTAGCACACATTCTCACACCAGGTTGTTGCGTATTGCATATGAAACCAGATTGTTCATCGCCCCAACGTTTCTCCGCTCCGGCACCCAAGACCATGATTCTGAACAGGAACAGGACACTCATCCATATCTTTCCGATGATGTGAGTGAGACTGCACCTTGTCCAGTAACTTGAAAGAAACCCAGTCTCCCATGTTTGCTGATGTTCAATGGCTTTCTAGAGTAAAGAAGAAGACATGAAACAAGTTAGTGTCTATGATCTGAGGGCCAAATGGGAACGAAGGGCTGGGTACACAACGGCCATCTTATCCATGAGTCAGGTTTTCAATGTTTTTCACTCAGTTTTCAGCCTTAATCATAATCGGACTATTGGAAACGCACACTATAGCCTCAAGCCAAGTGCCTGAAAACTGATATCCCTCAATGCCTTTAATTTACCTTTAATAAGAAAATTATTGTTACAAAACATTATCATGTAACCCGTGTGTATCCAAAATTATTAAAACCAAAATAAATCAAATGTAAGCAGTTGGTCAAATGTAGAGAAACCACTGATTGACAGTCTATATGATACTAAATATATAGTTTTAAATGTAAACGTAATGATCTGGGAAAAAAATTATGTATAACTTTGCTATCAATTATATTTAAAACTTTTATGTTATTGCCTGGTAATCGGTAAACTCCAAAGACAATATTTGCAGTGGAATCCTTATATCAAAAACTATTACAAAATGAACTGCTGTTCTGTTCATTTTCATTACATTTAAAAATAAAATTGAAGTAGAGAAGTGAGAAGAGAAATTTTGCCTCTTACCTTGTCCTGACCCTATGGAGACTGCGGCCAACTGATTTTAACAAAAGTTGAACCTTGAGATTTTAGGGCTGGTGGAAAGGATTGAGTAACCCATCAGCATGTTCACAGTCCCAGTCATCATCGGCAAATGGGATTTTAAAATTTAAACCCCTTGGGACTGATGGAAGGTCCCGCCGTAATGATTGACAAATAGATACAGACTAAAGGGATTAAACAGGAACACATCTAAATTAATGCTTTTTATGTGCATTGAATGAATAACACAGAGCTCAGAGTTTTTCAGAATAGATATCATGGGGGCGGACACATCTGAGACTCATTTATAAAAAACAAAAGAGGAATCAAACCAAACACAATGATCCCAGCCAGAATAAATTCCTTATATCAAGATTATGTGCTATATCAAGATTATGGTGCTATAGGAATTACATTACATCAAACTATACAAGCAATGGCACAACCAATTAATACAATCCCCCAAAATATACAGATTGAAATTATTTATATTTGTTACTGGGGCACAAGCTCAAAGACTGATCCTCTTTTCGTTTAAAAAACTTTTATTGAATGCAGTTAATATTTTGGAGAAATCAACTTTTAGGCACACAAGTAAGGTCTTTTTATACATATGGTTTTACCGGGCCCACAAGATCTTTGGGTCCACATAACGCAGATTGTGTGAAAAGGAATGTGTACAGAAGTGGCAAAATCAAATATGGACCTCCCCCAATTAGCAGTGTTGTCCTCAGAAGCCACACTTTTCGTCACTGCACTGCCAGCTTCTCCCCTGGAGCTCCAACTCCAGATTTGACCCAGTTCTGGATCATCTGGTCCCTGTTCTCAATGGCCTTTTTCTCAAGGCAGGGGTGACCGGGGTCACCGTGTAGTCCTGTTCCGTCCACACACTCTTTGACTGATTTGACAAACAGGTAGAAGAGCTCGATGAGGTTGAGGAGCAGAGACACACAGGCTACTACCAGCATGAACCAGATAAAAACGGTTTCTCCGTGGGTTTTAGACAGGGGGAAGCAGTCCACCCGGTGAGGGCAGGGGAAACGGCTGGCGCAAAGCGAGCCTGGAGGGTGAATCCATACAGGGTAGTATTGACAAACATGAACCCCACCCCTCAACGGGTCTTCACCAGTAGGTGCACTACGTAACTGCGTAACAGACGGCCATGCAGTTAATCTTCCCATTGACGTTGCTTGGGACTTGGGGACTTTGGAGCCCTTCTTCAGGAAGTTATGGCCTGCTCATCCTGTACTTGCTTATTCATTTCCCCTGACCTTCTTCTCTACGTGGAGACGTGGAGGACATGGCCCAGGTACACCAGGGTTGGGATGGGACAGAGAGGGTCTGAAGGAACCCAGAAGCGGACGGTGAGATGGGAAGGCGTGGTCATAACAGACGTTCTCACATCCGGGCGTTTGTGTTACAGACAAAGTTGACGCTCGTCCCCCCCAAACCTTCTCGGCCCCGGCCCCCAGGACCAGGATCCTGAACACAAACAGGACAGTCAGCCAGATTCCTATGACGTGGGTGGGACGCATTGTCCAGCAGCGGCCCCAATCCCTTCACCATTCGACTGTCCAGTTGGGCAGTTTGTGTGAAAAAAATAAGATATTCATCCCCGGGGATTATCAGTATGACAAGAACAGTTGATTTGTTGCGTACACAGATTAGCTTGGTCTGGATCCCACGGTGCAATCATATTTCCAAATCTCAATTTGGAGTTCACTGAGTTTATGATGTATTACAATCCTTTCTCTTCACAGTACAGCGTGACGGACACAATTTGTTTCACTGTGTAGCAAAAGCAATGTGAATAGACGATGAAATTAACTTGTACTGAAACTGTCACCCCTACTAATGTTAACCATAATTGCCTTATCATATCTTTACATTCCTGCAGATATAACATACAGTGTTTAGACTATACAGCCCTGGGCAACAGACTCAATTGCACCTAATTTAATTGAAATGATGTAAACATGTTGATCAACCGTTGTCCGTGGACAGCCTCATTGCACACACATTTGTTTATGTCCGTACCATGACAACTTTTGTTTGACCTCTTGACCCATGAAGACTATACTGTGTATACAGCTACTGTGTTGGTCTGAGCCGAAATAAATCCTGATATAATTTACACATCAAAGTCCTGTTTTGCTACAACGATTGGACTTTTTTTATATATATATGTACACAATAGAAAAAAACATCTCACCAGTCCCTGTACCATAAAACATAATATAACATAAAATAATTCAGACAAAGCTCACATTTATCTTTTTTCAAAAACATAAATAAAATTAACTAAATCAATTGACATATTCACAGACGAGTTCAAATATTTTCTGAAACAATTTTTAGTGTTGCGGTGATTTCGGACGAATCAGAACGCAGGAGACACTTATCTCCCCTTCCCTCACTACTCTGTCACGATCGTCTGAGGAAGCGGACCAATACGCAGCAACGTTGCGACGTCACATGATGACTTTTTTTATAAAGCCACGTGCAATACAAAACAAAGACGAAGTGACAGTTCAACAGTGACAATGAACTGAACTTGGAACAAAAACCACAAACCAGGAGAAACCCACACAGTAAGATGGACTCCCAATCAAGATAACGAGCCGACATCTGACACTCGTTACCGTCCGATTGGGAGTCATAGACTAATCAAAACAATCAAAACCCACATAGAATGAACAACTAGAATCCCCAAATCATAGAAATACACCCCAACAATGAAATGAACAACCCTGCTCATAATCAAAGTCCCTGGAGCCATTTTCACAAGTACCCCCCCTAAAGTCGCACCTCCGTCGACCAGCATACCTTGGGAGGGTCTGGGTGGCCGTCTGTCCATGGTGGCGGCTCATGGCCCAGGTCGTGGTCCCCCACCCCACCCGTTAGCACTATCCCTCCGTAGCCCCCCCTCCCCCTTACCACCCCCCAATGAAACCCCACCTGGATTAAGGGGCGGCACCGACTAATGGTCGCACCGACTAAGGTGCAGCACCGGACTAAGGGACGGTACCTGACTAAGGGGCCATCAACCGGACTGAATGGCGGATCCTGCTGGCTGGCTCTGGCGATCCTGGCTGGACGGCTCTGGCGATCTGGCTGGACGGCTCTTGCGGATCCTGGCTGGCGGAAGGCTCTTTCTGATCCTGTCTGCAGAATGCTCTGGCTTATCCTGTCTTTCACAGGCTCTGCTGATCCTGTCTGGCGTAAGGCTCTGGCTGATCTGTCTGGCGAAAGGCTCTGGTCTTATCCTGTCGGCGGAAGGCTCTGGCTGCTCCTGTCTGGCGGAAGGCTCTGCTGGCCTGGAATCCTGTCCTGGCGGAAGGCTCATGGCCATGCTCCTGTCTGGCGTAACGCTCTCTGAAGGCTTCATGGCAGACGGGCGGCTTTGGCAGGCTCAGTACAGACGGGCATTCCTGCGGCGGCTTGGCAGACTGACTCAGACGAGCGTTGGGCATACTGGCAGTTCAGTGCGCCGTTGGGCAGACGGGCAGTTCAGAGCCCGTTGGGGCCAGAACGGTCAGTTCAAGGCCCCGTTTGGGGGGCAGACTGACAGTTCAGGCCCCGTTGGGCCAGACTGCAGACTATGGCCGTCTGAGAGCGGCTCGATAGGCCTGGTGCTGTTGCCTGAACAGGAGGTACCGGGCTGAGGACACGCAGCTCAGGGCTAAGTGCGGGGAGAAGCACGAGGCATGCTTGACCTGGGACGCACCGCTAGGCCTGTGCGTTGTGCCGGAACTGGAGGTACCGGGCTGAGGACACCCGCTCAGGGTCTAGTGCGGGAAGCAAGAACAGGGCATGCTTTGGCCCTGGGACTCACCGTAAGGCCGATGCGTGGTGCCGAACTGGAGGTACCTGGGCTGAGTACACGCATCTCAGGCTAGTGCGGGAAGCAGGCACAGGGCAGCTGCGCCCCTGGGAACGCACATAAGGGCTAGTGCGGGAGAGCCGGAACAGGGCATGCTTTACCCTGGGGACTCACCATAAGCCTAGTGCGGAAGCAGCAACAGGACGCACAGACTCGGGAGCACACAGGAGGCTTGGGCTGGTGTGGCACTGGTGGGAAAGGGCTTGGCGACGCGCACCGTAGCCCTGGTGCGATTGCCGGAACAGGCCGGTCCGGGCTGGGCGAAGCGCAACCGTATCCCTGGGTGCGCGTGGCCGGAACAGGCCGGCTGGGTGTGGCCGAACGCACGTATCCTGGTAGCGAGTGGCCGGAACAGGCCGGGGCTGGGCGGCGAAGTGCACCGTATCCCTTGTGGCGAGTGGCCGGAACGGCCGGGCCGTGCTTGGCGAAGCGCACCGTATCCTTGGTGGCGAGGGGTCGTAACAGGCCGGACCGTACGGAGGCACAACAAAATCCACCCAATAGGCCGACCCAAAGCTACGAGAAACAGCGTAGCACTCAGAGACTCGTTAGAGAGAGCAGATTTTATATGAGTTACCATAGCGGCCCATCATCAACGACCACCACACCAACAGCGAAAACACCGACAACACGTAAACACACAACAGCAAATCGAAGAAAATACAAAATGGCTTGACCCAGTGTTTCGACAATATCCGGGAATTGTGTCTCCGCCCACGCCACTTGGTGCATTACACCCCCACCTTGAGACATACCCACCTACCCCCGTAACTTGAATTCGTTGCCTATACCGGACTGGATACACACCTCAGTCTCTCACGCCGTGCCTCTACATCTCCTTTCCGCTACTTTGGCCAGTGAACCCCCGTAACCGTGGTTGCCATTTGAATTTCGCCCCTGCTCTGCCTCCTTAGCCCCTCGTCCAAGCCATGTCCCCCCCCAAAAAACTTTTTTGGTGCCTCTGCCGTCTCGTCCTTCCAACGATGAGGCCCCTGCTGACGCCGTTGCTGCTCCTCTCGCCGTCGCCTCTTCCAACCTGTTCGCTCCATGGACTGCGATCCCTCCCATCCAGGATCTCCTCCCAAGTCCAGACCCCTTTCCCACCAATCTCCTCCCATGATACCCAGGAACCTTGGAGCTGGGTCCTGGTTGCCGGGCCCTGCTTCACACGCTTCTTGGATCCATTTGGATGGTGGTTTTTCTGGCACGAATCGTCTGAGGACGCGGACCAATACTCCCGGGCGAGTGAACATGATATTTATTTATAAAGCACGTCAATACAAAACAAAAGACGAAGTGAAGTCCAACGTGACACTGACTGACTTGGACAAAAAACCCACACAACCAGGAGAAACCACACAATTTTAAATATGCTCCCATCGCAAAACGAGCCGACGCTGACACTCGTTACCTCCGATTGGGAGTCCTTATGAACTAATCAAGAACAATCCCCAACATAGAAATGACAACTAGAATCCCCAACATAGAAATACAACCAACAATGAAATGAATCAACCCTGGGGCTCAATAATCAAAGTCCATGGAGCCGAGGTGTCACCATCTTCCCTCACTTATCTCCCTCACTAACTTTAGGCATCAGTTGTCAGGCACCTTACCGATCACTGCACCTGTACCAGCACCATCTCAGTAGCCCGCCCAACTAACCTCATCCCTAATAGTGTTATTTATTTTGCTCATTTGTTACCCAGTATCTCTATTGCACATATCTCTTGCACATCTATCATTCCCGTTTAATACTAATTGTAATTATTTTGCACTATGCCTATTTATTGCCTTATACCACTCCATACTTTGCTACCTTTGCACACACTGTATAATAGTTATTTCTGTTGTAATTTTTGACCTTTGTTTTGTTTTACCCCATATGGTAACTCTGTTTGTTTTGTTTTTAATCGCACTGCTTTGCTTTTTATCTTGGCCAGCTCCGCCACGTTGTAAATTTGAAAAAACTTGTTCTCACTGGTTTACCTGGTTTAAATACAGGTGAACTAACATATTTGTTAAAAAGGAGGGTAAATCACGCATTCATCGCTTCTCCCGATTCATCGCTTCTCTCCCATCCTGGCTGCCATAGTAGAAGGCTCTCCAACCCTCGCCCATACGACTCCAGGCGGTCTCTGTCTCCTCTGACCTTCCATGTTTTGGGTGTGTGATTCTGTGGCGGGTGGGGGGCTTGGACGGAGTCAGGCGCAGGAGGGTCAATCAACAGACTATTATAGTTTAAATCATGAACACAGAGGTACGCAGCGATGCGTAATACACTCCAGTACTGGTAAATACGGCGCTCTGGGAGAAAACAAGGCACACGGGTGAATATCCCGGCGATACAAATACAAAGTAACTCCACCACCGAGCTATAATACTCCACAATAAACATCAAACCAAAGACAAGGGGGCAGGGGAACACGTTACAGGTACTAATGAGGGATATGACCATGTTGGTGTATAACAAGACAAAACAAATGGATGAGAGATGAGAGCGGCAGTGGCTAGAAAGGCCCGGTGACGCGAACGCTGAGCTGCCAACAAGGAGGTAGCGCTTTTGGGAGGAAGTTGTGACATTTAGTGTCACTTGTGTGTGGACAGTGTGGGTTTCAAATAACCAAAATGTAATGATGATCAGCATTATATCAAGATTCAACATCATCAAGAAAGACCCTGCGGGACCATCACTCACCTGATAGCGCAAACACACTGCTGAAAGGTAGGAGGTTGCTCCTAGTGCAACACCATGAACAAATTAAAATAAAGCAAAGCTCAAGCATCAGTCCTGTTACCCACTGATTGTATTAAACCCTTACTTAGACAGAATCAAGCCAAGCCTAACAAAATCTTAAGGTCCAATGCAGCCGGTTTTATCTCAATATCAAATAATTTCAATGAGTGATTGTTTTTTTCATTGTAAATGGTAAAGAAACAAATACTTCTTTAGCAAAGATCAATTTCTCAAGCAATAATTTTGATAGGCCTGTCTGGTACGGTACATGAGTAGGGAGGGTAAAACAGAAAAGGAAGCGTTATTTGGCAGCGATGTTTGGACTCTCTTTCTTATTGTTCTGTAACGAATTTACCGCATGTTGTTTCACTGTGTAAGGCCCAAAACTCCCTCCCCCAAAAACAGGTTGAAAATTTCAGGTGGTCCATTTCAAACAATCTCTTTACACTGAAAGGCATTATCATTAATTTTCACAAGTTCACTGCAATTTATTCAAACCTCATATGTGGAAGGCTCTATAAAACACAGGAAAATCACGTTTTTTGACTGCACGGACCTTTAAGAACCCTGGATATTGTAGGGCTACAGTTTCAGTGGCATCCTTCCTCTCTAGTCAACAGAAATGTCAATAGTGTTTTACAATATTAGATTGTGATCAGCTGACTTTCAGGCCTGTGCTGTGACCAGTTGCATGAAATGATCTCATCTTCGCGTTTTGCAATCAATACTACCTCCATTCGACTGCTGTGCCTTGCGATGGCTGAACTGCTTGACCACATTTCCCCCCTTCTTGATCCAGAACCACCATAACCACACTTGGAGCAGATCAGATAGAAATCTCCACCAACCTTCAGCAGCAGAGATGCGCACGCCACCCCCCGCAATGCAGATGATGAGAGGTCTTCTCTGTTGGTCTGACACTGAAGCATTCTACAGTAACGGGACAAGGAGCTCTGCTGCTTCAATCTTGGGGTCCAGCACAAACCCATACAAGTACCACTGACCCACTATAAACACTATCTCCAGCAAAATCCCTAAGAAAGATTTGCCATGACTGACGCAGCAAGTCCCTTGATTTTGACATGACCCTTCTCATCATATATTTAGGCATTTTTCCCCCATCTCTGACTGCCTGACTTAGCCGTTGCCTTCATTTTGTTCTCTCCTTGTGGGATGACTGCATGACATGTCCAGATACACCACGGTTTTGGGGTGGCAGACTAAGATGAATCTGAAGGACCCAGAAGCGGATGTGTGAGATGGGGAAGGCGTGTCATAGCACACTTTCTCTTACAACCGGGACTGGTTTTTGTATTAGCAAATCATATTAGACTGCTCATTCCGCTCCACACCTTCTCGCCCCGGCCCCCAGGACATGATCCTGAAGCTAAACAACAGTCATTCCAAACGTAACCGACGCCGTGTGAGTGTGACTGCAACCTTGCCCAGCAGGAGACAGAAACCCCACTCTCCCATGTTTGTGCAGATTGTTCTGGTTGGAAAGAAATACAAACTAGGAACGGTGAATGTGATGCTGATGTTAGGGGAAACAAAGTTAAGTTGAGTTATCAGAATTTTGCAACATTCTGGGTAGCATGATGAAGAATCTATGATAAGATTAAATGACAAATATCAAACAGCTACAGAGAAATCACACACGTAATAGATCAACAGAGACAGTCTGTGGGTATGGAGATATAACACAAGCGGTGTATGGGATAGTAAGGCTATTTCCAAAGCCCAGGAGCTATAAAACATAATCGCAATAACAGAAGAGATATCTCCATGCTGTCTGTATCAACCAGATGAATTTTTTTCTTAGTCAAATCTAATGTGTCATATTCATCATCTAACATGGAATTCAGTATTTTTGTAGCAAAATACCACTGACTGTACAAACATTAGGACCTTCCTAATATTGAGTTGCACCAACCCCATTTCGCCTTAGACAGCCTCATATTCGTTCCGTCGGGCATGGACTCTCAAGGTGTGAAAGCGTTCCACAGGATTCTGGGGCCCATGTTGACTCCAATGCTTCCCACAGTTGTGGTCAGTTGTTCTGGATGTCCTTTGGGTGGTGACCATTCTTGATTACACAAGGGAAACTGTTGAGTGTGAAAATCCCAGCAGCGTTGCGTTCTGAACGCACTCAACTGGTTGTGCCTGGCATCCTACTACCATACCCCATTACAAAGACACTTAAATATTTTATTTTGCCATTAACTCTCTGAATGTCCACATACACCATCCATGTCCTCATTGTCTCAAGCTTAAAATCCTTCATTACCTGTCTCCCTCCCTTCATCTACCTGATTTAAGGGATTTAACAAGTGATTATCATAAGATCATGGCAAAGAGCAGGTATTCCCTAATTGTTTTGTACCCATCATGTGTATCACTTCTTTATAATACAGTATGGTATTCTATTTTCGATTTTGATTACATTTTATTACAAATTATATTAATAATTGTTTTTGATATGCCCAAAAAATATTTGGGAAAGTGAGTGATTGGATATTTTTTCCATGCTGTAATCCGCACCGGGCCCTCTCATGAGGTCAGTGTACCAGTATATGTGGTCTGTGTGTTTTAGTCTGCAATCAATTAATTTACTTGTCTCAAGTAATGGACACAGCATCACGCAGGCCTATCAAGTAAAATGTCCCAAAGACCAAAAATCAATATTCTAATAACACGATTTACACGTGTTTTCAGATAATAATAAATCACTAGGTTGTCCGCTTAGAATGGTCAAGCTTATCATAAATCCGTTTTGGTGTTTGGATATTAGATTTTTTCATTCTATGTCTATTCATGTTGGGTGAAAACAATACCATGAATTCATAAATTATAGACAATGTAACAAATAGTAGAAAGATAAGTCTTTAACCTTTTAAACCATACCGTTTCTGAACAGAACACAACAGCACAGCTGTAGAGAACAAGGATCAAAGTGCTACGTAGTAGCCTACCAACCGTCTACCTGAAGTGCACATTTTGCTTGTCGTACGAGGTGCTCACGTTGTGCAGGACCTCCTGATTGAGAAATCTGCTGTTTATAATTTGGGTGACCTTGGGGTGATTTGTAACGGTTAATCTGGGCAACACAATGATAAAGTTAATTATGTATCAGTACTATGTCAATTAACCAGTAATCACCATGAAATAGCATTGTAATCTAGGCCATGCCTGTGCTAAAATGATTTATATAGCAAAGTGGTGGGTGGTCCAGGTAGGCAACAGGTATATGAAGGTAATGAAATCTTAATCAAAATTTTTGGGGGGATATTTTTCTACAATCTACTTTCCTCAAATATGTGCCTGGGTTTGTACTGTAGTTAACCAGTTCTGGCAAACAAGAAGGTATTTTTTGTGTTAATTATACCTATAAGCCTCTTCATTGTGAGGGTTGGAGGACGTGCGCCCTTATTTGCAAATGACACTTCCATACGCATATTTGCCATACTCTCATCCTAGAAACTTGTCTGGATTGTAGTTTGCAACGTTCTGGTCAAAAATGATTTTATTTTACAAGCTCCTTTATTTTGAGGGTTTGGGAGATCTGATGTCTTATGTTCATGATGTTAATTAATTTTATAGCCATATTCCCAAAATGGTGTCCTAAGATAATCACTATTTCCTCATGTGTGTTATATTCTGTTAGGTTTTCAGTGATTTTAATTGAATGGGTTTTCATGTTCTCATTTTCATTCAGCACTTGATACAAAAAAACCTATTAATTTGACACAATTTAAAGGTTTATTATTTTTTTTAACGATACACTTGTGTATCTTGCACCTTTTATGTAATCATATATAGAAAATATATTACTGTCAGCATCATCCTGTCAGTTTAAACACTCCATTAAGACCCAGCGGTTAGTTTCACAACTAAAGGAACATGTTAAACTTCAAACACAACTACTAGTGCACTGCGCCTCAATCAATGGTCCTCTCTGTAGCTCAGCTGGTAGAGCACGGCGCTTGTCCGCTAAGGTAGTGGGTTCGATCCCTGGACCACCCCTACACACAAAAAAATGTATCAAACGCATGACTGTAAGGCGCTTTGGATAAAACGGCTGCTAATGGCATATTATTTCTTATTAATCAAAAAACATAAGAAACAAAACGACGGAGTGTATTCATTCAGTTTTCACCAGACAAAAGATTAAGATACATTAACGTCAAATTAACTTCAAAGCGTTTTTATTGGTGGTCACCCACAGCAACTTTTTCTCACGTAGCATCCAGTACCCACCTAAACTCTGCATCTCAAACTCCAGATTCATCTTGTTCTGTCTCAGGGTGTCCATCTCATATCCCCGACCGACCAAGCAGGTGTGGGAGGGTGGCTGGGTTCGCAGTTTGAGGTAGTGTGATATTGCGGCCTTTGAGCAACCACACTTAGATCTTCTACAAAGGCAGATAGAACACCTCAAATCCCATTCATGCCCGAGAACGCACAGGCCACACCAGCATGAAGATGATGAGATGGTCTTCACTCTGTAGGACGGGGACATTAGCATTCGACAGTGAGGGGCCGGGAGATCTGGACAGGGAACATGGGTGACCTGACAAATCAACCCATACAGGTCGTAACTGGCCCACGATGAAAGCGATCTCTATTATGATCTTTTAAAGAAGAACAGCGGGGTCATGTAACTACCCAGCAAATTCCCCTTATTTTGATCTCCCTTCTTCCATTGCTGTATTTGGGGTTCTTCCCTTGCCATTTGTTCAACTTGGCTCTGCAGTATGGCTCTCATTTGGTCTCCTGCTGAATGACATGCATGGCATGGCCCAGTATGAAAGTTGTAGTGGAGACAAGATGATCGGCATTACCCAGAACGTATGTGTGAGATGGGCAGATATGGTCGTAAGCCACTTCTCACACCAGGTTTGTTGGCGTATGCATATGAAACCAGCTTGTTCATCGCCCCACCTTTCTCCCGCCCCGGCACACAAAATACCAAAAACCCGCCAAGACCATGATTCTGACACAGGACATGACACTCATCCATATCTTTCCGATGACTGTGAGTGAGACTGTGCACCTTGTCCATAAACTTTGAAAGAAACCCCAGTCTCCCCTGTTTTGCTGAATGTTCAATGGCTTTCTAAGTAAGAAGAAGACATGAACAAGTTAGTGTCTATGATCTGAGGGCCAAATGGGAACGAAGGGCTGGGTACACCAACGGCCATCTTATCCATTAGTTCAGGTTTTCAATGTTTTTCACTCCGTTTTCAGCCTTAAAATCATTAATCGGACTATTGGAAACGCACCCTATAGCCTCAAGCCAGTGCCCTGACACTGATATCCCTCAATGCCTTTAATTTTACCTTTACTACGAAAATTATTGTTTACAAACATTATCATGTAACCCGTGTGTATCCAAAACTATTAACACCAAAATACATCAAATGTCAGCAGTTGGTCCAATGGTAGAGAAACACTGATTGACATTTTATCATGATAGCTAATATATAGTTTTTAAATGTAAACGAATGATTCTGAAAAATTATGTCATAAACTTTCTATCTTATATTTAAACATTTTATGTTATTGCCTGGTAATCGGTAAACTCCAAAGACAATATTTGCGTGGAATCCTTATATCAAACTATTACAATAACTTGCTGTTCTGTTTCCAGTTTCATTACATTTAAAAATAAATTGTAGAGAATGAGAAGAAATGTTGCCTCGTACCTTGTCCTGACCCACTATTGAGACTGCGGCCAACTAATTTGAACATAAGTTGGAAAACCGTGAGATTTAGGGCGGGTGTTAAGGATTTGAGTCACCCATCAGCAATGTTCACAGCACAGTCCCAGTCCATCATACGGCAAATGGGATTTTAAACAGTTAAACCCTTGTGACGACTGAGGTCGCCGCTTAATGATTGACCAATAGAAAGACTAAAGATTAAACATGACACATCTAAATTAATGCTTTTCTATGCATTGAATGATAACACGAGCTCAGAGTTGTTCATGAAATAGAATCATGGAGGCGGCACTTCTGAGAACTCACGTTCTATAACACAGAGGAATCAAACCAAACACAATGATACCAGCCAGAATAATTCCTGTATATCATATTCTATCTATATCAATATATGTGCTATAAGGAATTACATTCATCAACGCATACATCAATGGCAACAACCAATAATCAAATCCCCCCATCCCCCAACATATACAGAGTGACATTTTTATCTATTTGTTATCTGGGCACACGCAAAGACTGATCCTCTATTCGATGACAAAACTTTTCGGAATGCAGTTAATATGTTGGAGAATCAAACAATTTTAGGCACACAAGTAAGGTCATTTTATACATTGGGTTTTAAGCCTGGCACAAGACCAGTGGGCACACATCACACACAGAAATATCGCGCTGAGCGGAAAAAGAGATCCAACATAACACGCATATTTGGTGAAAAGGAATGTGTACAGAACTGGCAGATCAAATATGGACCTCCCCCATATTAGCAAGTGTTGTCCTCAGAAGCCACCCTTTTCGTCATGCACGGGCCCAGTTCCTCCACTGGAGCTCCAACTCCAAGATTACCCATTCTGGATCATCTGGTCCCCTGTTTCTCAATGGCCTTGCTCTCAAGGACAGGGTGCACCGGGTGTCACCGTGTATCCGGCTTCCTAGTCCCTGCTTCCTTTCCTGTCCACACACTCTTTGTACTGATTTTGACAAACAGGTAGAAGAGCTCGATGAGGTTGGGAGCAGAGATCCCACAGGCTAACTAACCACATGAACCATGAATGAAGACGGTCCTCTCCGTGGGTCTAGACAGGAAGCAAGTCCGCACCTGGTGAGGTCTAGGGGGAACGGCTGCCAGACAAGCGAGGCCTGGAAGGGTGAATCCCTACAGGTAGTAGACAACCATGACCCCACCTCCAACAGGATCTTCAACCAGTAAGGTGCACTAACGTAACTGCGTACAGAGCTGCCATGCGGGTTAATCTTGCCCAGTGACGTGCTGTAGCTTGGGACTCATTGTAAGCCCTTCTTCAGGAAGTTTATTGGCCTGCTTCATCCTGTACTTGGCTTAGTTCATCTGCCCCTGACCTCTTCTCGACGTGGCTGACGTGGAGACAATGGCCCAGGTACAAACCAGGGTTTGGATGGGAGACAGAGAGGATCGAAGGCCCCAGAAGCGGACGTGTGAGAATGGGCAGGCGTGGTCATACCATCACGTTCTCCATCCGGGCGTTCTGTGTTTAGACAAAGTCTGACTGCTCGTCCCCCCACAGTCCCTTCTCGGTCCCCGGCCCCGAGGACCATGATCCCTGAACACAAACATGACAGTCCAGCCAATCTTCCTATGACTGTGGAGTGGGACTGCACTTTGGTCCACAGCCTGCCCAGCAAGTCCCCATTCACCCATTTCGACTGGCCAGTTGGACATTTTGCCTGTGAAACAAATACATAGATATATTCAATCACCTGGGGATTATCATTTGAACAAAACTGTAAAAATATTTAAAAAAAATTAGCAAAGTTTTGAGACTGAATAAGATCTCATAACAACTTAATTAATATGTACTAATTGAAATGTCACCAATGAGCGCCCACTCAGGACCCTCTTCTCTGGTCATTTGACCAGTGAGTACATTGATACGTGAAGGACCCATCAGGCCCAGATATCTGAGCCATTCCCAAGAACAGACCTTTCCAATCTGGTGGGAACCAAGGACCTGACTTGTTCCAGCTACCTAAACATTGATTTGTTTTATTCGAAGCACAAGAAGACATAAAGATTATCTTCCTGCCTTTTCATTACAGTCAGTTTGCTGTTGCCACTAGTTCATTTGGTGACAGTTATTGAAGCATACTCAAATTCAATCTTTGCCTTATCACAGTTTTTTGAGAAAAGCTCCAATACAGATAGATAAGTCGACTTTTCATCAAGGCCTGTCCGCAGTCTATTGGTAAACTAGTTATGTTTCACATAATGTTTTAATTTGTCCATTACTCTTTTGTCAGGTCACAATCCCATCCATCCTTAAAGCGTGTGAAGATTCTCTAATTTATAAGCTCAATTATTAACTCATCTCGTCTATGCATTATGATTGTCGCATATCAACAACCTAACATTTTTTTACATTTTAGTCATTTGCAGACGCTCTTATCCAGAGTGACTTACAGTTAGTGAGTGCATACCTTTTTCACATACTGGCCCCCAGTGCGGGAAAACTAACCCACAACCCTGGCATTTTGCGCGCCATGCACTACCACTGCTACAGGGGACTACCCAGGCAATGAACCATTACATCTCACTTTCTATGGTCATGAATGCATTTTCACAAATTGGTATTTGTCGATCATTAAATTAGTAAGCATAAGTAATTGTTTGCTTTCAACTTACCAGGGACGAGCCTAAGAAAGGTCCAAGCTGCTTCAGTCTCTCAGGGGGTGTTAATGTCAGGGTAAAGACGAAATCTTCTCAACCTTCCCTTCTTATTGCAGGAGCCCATCCCAACCACAACCAAGACTACAATCTCCCACCTTTTAGGCATGACACATTCAATAACTTGTAAGTGTATGGACCAAGGTGAAACTTAAAGTATAATTTAGGTTCCTCATGAAGACTAGTGTAGGCTATATCCCACATAAGGCACGGTATGTCAATCTTAAGAAATTACGATTGAACAAATGTATTTAAAAGTCAGAGACACTGACACCCTGCAACAAGATTTATTGTCTATAGTCAACGTTTCTTTTTCTCCACATATGGCTTTTTAATGTGTCTAAAATGAACATAACATTTGTAATTCTTTGGGTCCATGTTACGTTCTAACAATCGTTCCATCATTTTGTATTGTTTTTTAACAGCAGCTTTTTGCTTCACACTTCCTTCCGTGAAGATTACAAATCAATGGTCTGGCCTCATTTTCTTTTTGTATGGTGCTATGCATAACATATGCTATTCACCAATCAAAACTAGATGGAAAGTCAGTCACACGCCGAAGGGAGCAGAGGGGGGCGGGGGGGGGGGGAGGATGGGGGGGGGAGGGGAGGGGGAAGAACCAAGAGAGACCAATTGTCATCCGAAGCATAATATAAAAGACGCAGGGTGCAAAGAATAAGGATATGGCTCTAAGTAACTGTAAGTTGTTGTCAACACAACTTCTTTACAGATAGGAAGGCCCGTTAAACACCTCAAAGACCACAGTTCCTCAACATAAACATCTCAACTCACTACAAAAATACTCTCCTTCACCTCACATATCGTGCATTCGTCACAACGTCATCAGCATAATTTCGGATCTACGACTCCTGGAAGACTTCTTAGTATTCCATGCTCACCTGATAATATAGATTTTTATGCGTTCAAGGATACATTTATTACACACCCCTCATTCCCTCACTCGTGTGTACATCTTTATGATGCCTGTAATTAGCCTAGCATAAATTGTTGGTCATGAGTAATTCATTGATGACAGTTCAGTTTTTCTGTATGAAGGAGAACCTTTCAGCATGAGCTATGTGAGCATCACACTGACCCCATACCCAATCCATTCTGGCATTGATGCACAAGGTCCCAACTGGAAAATAACACAAACAAGAGCAACTGGATTATCCCTACTTGTGTTTTTAACATGGACTATAGACCCTAAATGTCATATCCCTCACCCTTCCAAACCCCATTTTAACATCACTGAGCTTGTACCTGCAGTGTATGGGCCAATGCCTGTAACAGCATACAACAATCTGATCTGGTGGTACTAGACCGCTACCTGCTGATAGTCCATAGTCCATGGGGCGCCCAAACTCGAAAGTTTACCAATCTTGCACAAGATTCCCTGATGCCATATTCATGGTGCAGATTTCACCACTGCCCACTCTCACTCTCTACATTCCAGTAAGAACCACGCCCTTCATCAGTGTGGTGGCAGCAATGTGTGTTGAGATATACGCCCCACAACTGGTCTTCAGTCAGGCCATGAAAGTTTAGTGATTGCCAAGGCAGTCATCCACCATTAACCAGAAAGCCTATATCTTTGTCCCTCAAGGCATCTTTGACAGGCTTGCAAGCTGCATCGCCCTGACTGAAAGTCTGCCACAAGCACCTTGTATCCACTCCAGAGTCTCAGAGATGGTCCTTGGATGTGTCATCAGGATATTGAATGGCTTATCATATCATGAAAATGTTTAAAAATATATATACACTGTATTATACATATACATATATAGATATATATATTATATATATATATAATAATATAATTTTATATATTTATTTATTTATTTTATTCCGCTTTTCAGGGGGTTCTGCCAGCACGCCTACTACCCGTGTATGGATTGCATTTACCTTCCATAAATGACACCCCATTCACCAAAACCGTGGCCAAGCACGTGCTTTGCAAAAGCTCAAAACTGTCAACATCATCCACCGGTTGGTATTTAGCTAAACTAAAGCAAACTCCAAACAATGTTTTCCCTAATCCTAGCCCATCTGTACTCTTTGGATACGTCAATAATCTAGCTAACGTTAACGTTTTTTCCGATTATATACTTTACTTGATACTTAACGCTTAAGTTCCATTACATTGTGCATAGTATTTTCGTAATCTAGCTACACAGCAGTTCGACATGCGCATATTGAGGTTCCTGGCCAAAGATGGTCGTGTACATTTAAAAATGTCAGTTCCCGGTCTGCTTACGGGGTGGGCTCTCCATAGAACACAATGCCTAGCAGCTGGGTCTAGTTACTTAGTTCATTGACTTCCATGAAACCACAAAAAACCACGAGTGTTGTGTTCTTGCTTCCTCTTCTGTCCAACTTATTCCATAGTTGTTTCATTTCCTCTAAATCTAAGGATTCGAGACCATGTCTTAAGTAGTTTAACACATGTTTATTACAACAACCTCATGAAAGTGACCAAACAGATACGTTTGTCATTTTCGTCAAAACAACTTATATCGAAGAGAGCTTTGAGTTGCGGCTTTGCACATTCGCAGTTCGGTGCGAGATGACCTTATGGACCCGATGAGCGCATGATCTTAGCTAGCCAATGCCTACCTGACCTCGCCTACAGGTATGATTATAGGTGATTTCGATTTAGAGAGCGCAGTTTTAGCCTGTTTTTACTGCTGTTCTTGTCTTTGATTGGCTTATGACAGAAGGTAAGAGATTGTAAACATGGCGGGACCACGTGACATCTACGGACAATGCATTTAAAAGCCACAGTACAAAGCATTCGCCTAAAACTTTGGTTTAAAATAACGGAGTACAGGAATTTATTGTAATCATACTGTTAACTGTTAACATTATACATAGGGTTCGGTTTGCACCCCGTTTCCAAGTCACTGTTTTTTGCCTTATTTCCAGCATGATCCTGTCTGTACCACTGCTTTGAAATTCCCTCAATTCCCAACCGTGAGCTCCTTGTTTCCATTAGAGACAGTGTCGACAACAAGCTGCAGCAGGTTGGAATTGATCGCTAACTATACTGCACAACTCCAGTACCAGTCAAAAAAGTTTGGAACACACTACTCTTCAGGGTTTTTCTTTACTTTTACTATTTCTCTACATTGTAGAATACTAGTGATACTCAAAACTATGACATACACATATGGAATCATGTAGTAAACCAAAAAGTGTTAACAAATTCAAAATTATTTTAGATTTTAGATTCTTCAAGTAGCCACCCTTTGCCACTTGATGACAGCTTTCCACACTCAGGCAGTTTTTTTTATTTTATTTTTTATTTCACCTTTATTTAACCAGGTTAAGCCAGTTGAGAACAGGTTCTCATTTTTACAAGCTGCGACCTGGCCACGGATAAAGCAAAGTAGTGCAATAAAAACACCACAGGTTACAATGGGGTAAAAAAACATAAAGTCAGAACTACAACAAAAATATATATACAGTGTGTGCAAATGAGCAATTATGGGGTAAGGCCAATAAATAGGCTAAGTGCATAATAATCACAATAGTATTAACACTGGAATGCTAGATGTGCAAAGAGATTATGTCAAATAGAGATACGTGTGTGCAAAAGAGGCAAAATAAATAACAATATAGTGATGAGGTAGTTGGGTGGCTATTCAGATTGCTGTGTACAGGTGCATTGATCGGGAAGGTGCTCTGACAACTGCTGCTTAAAGGTTATTGAGTGAGATAAGATCGCCCCCCCCAGCTTCAGAGATTTTTGCAATTCGTTCTCGGTCGCATTCTCTCAACCAGCTTCTTGAAGTA